AGGATCAGTTATTTGCATGCAGTAATGCTCTGAGATCACTCACCCTGAGGATGAGACGGATGACGGCCATCCCGGACGTGGCCATGACTTTGGCACTGTTGGGCACGAGATTCAGCAGGGTTGGCATGACGCTCTCGGCCGCGTGGTCAAACTTGTTACCGAGAATCGATGACAAATATCTGGCAGAAAGAAAGAAATGGTTACAATGCAAAAAGCTTTCAAAGACAAACTGACAGGTTGGCAGAAATACAGAGAAGTGAGTGAGGGATGATGGGAAACGTCTGCTGTGTTGGCATTAAGAGGGATGATAGGATACATGTAGGTCTCATCTATTCATCAGCCTCCTGCTCTTTCAGTGCCTCTCTGCTCTGTTCCACCTCATCAGGGCCGGATTAAACTCGGGATGACGGATGTTTGTAAGTCCAGAGTGATGCTGCAAGACTGGTTTTCATTAGCTTAAGCTTTTCACTGTATAACCTCATCAGTTACGGATCCATGTTAATGTCAGCGCTGCTAATCAAAGCCATTAGAAGCACGTTGATCAATGAGTAAAAACTGAATGACTCTCATTACGGAGCCCTAATCCAGAGAGAAACCCATGAAAATGACATGAAATGCAATCACTTGTGATTTAATGAATCATCCTGACATGTACTCTGCTCATCTGGTCACACCCTGATGACAAAATATTCAGTAAAGATGAACTAAAAGTGAGCCTTTATAGGCAAAGGTTTCAATTAGACACTTAAACCTCTTGTTTTGTCATACTGACAGTTTCACAGCTGGAAAAAAAAACTATCGGAAGATTAGACTATGCACTTCACTATCAGGTATACTGACAGGGCGGTCATAAACATAATCAGACCAATTGAGCCCAGCCAGGCAGAGAAATCTAAGCAGTGTCTCATGCAGAAAGATTCTGATCTTAAGGTTTTTTGTAAAAACCCCTCTGCAAACATTAATAAAAGCTGTCACCACTGAGGCGATCGTGACTCAAGAGTTGGCAGTTCGTCTTGTAATCGGAAGCTTGCCGGTTCGAGCCCCAGCTCGGACAGTCTCGGTCGTTGTGTCCTTGGGCAAGACACTTCACCCGTTGCCTACTGGTGGTCATTACCGGTGGCGCCAGTGTCCGGCAGCCTCGCCTCTGTCAGTGCGCCCCAGGGCAGCTGTGGCTACAATGTAGCTTGTCATCACCAGTGTGTGAATGTGTGTGTGAATGGGTGGATGACTGAATGTAGTGTAAAGCACTTTGGGGTCCATAGGGACTAAGTAAAGCGCTATACAAATACAGGCCATTTACCATTTATCATTTACCACAAGGTGGCAGCGTTATACCAGAAAGTCAAATCATGTTTACAAACTCAAAGTGTTTTCCAATCGAGGCAAACAGATCAAAACACCAGTTTTACAACAATAAAACAAGACTCGAATAAATACAAAAGCATAAATAACAATAAACACTGTAACAATTAATAAGCATTAATTGTTTATAAAGTTTTTGAAAAACCCTTTCAGATGCTCGTTCAGATGCAGTTGCCAATGCAGATGGAGTCGCATGTTTAATGGGAGACGTTTGTGTTGCTGGATGCACTTCCTGACACAACCTTGTTTGTTTGGGCCTGGGGCTGACACTCAGAGCACATATGATTCCTGAAGCTGGGACTGGGTCTCCTCCCGCTCTTAAACCAGGGATGTTCACGCAGAAAAGCATTGTTAATTACCCTCAGGCTTTCATTTTATTTAACTAATTATTTTATTATTAAAATAAATTAATTGTTACACATTTAGATTATAAAAAGATCATTTAAAAAATCTGCTATGACAGGAAAACCAGTCAACTCAAAGAAGAGAAAGAAAAAAAGCTAATTCAGTTTTTCTGTCATTTACTTAGAGTTCTTTTTCTTGCCATCCAGGGTTTAAGGTCAACTATGTTTAATTTTTTAAGGTACATATTATTAATAGTGTTTTTAAAAAGTCTTCAATTAACTACAGCTTTAACAGAATTTGAAGAAATAACAGCTGCAGTGAGTCAACCAGGGAAATAATAAGAAGAATTCAAAAAGGAGGTCTCTGAAAGAAATGCGAAAAGAAAAAGAAAAACAGCAGCTCACTCACTGGTATAATTCTGCTTCCTGGTGGTGAACGTTTCAGAAAACAATTTGCAGGTGACTGATTACAGCAGGTACTTGTACCTAATGGCCAGTTGACAATTTACATAGGTGCCAGCTTGCCAAAGGGTGTGAGTCAGCCCACTGGATGGGTTTACACAGCATGAAATAAATCTTCATGTGCATATTATAACAACAGCAGACTCGATGTATGTGGAAAAACTGAGATGTTGTTGAAATCTCACTTATTTGTCTGAATACATGTCATTTCATCTGTTCATCATCTGTTTTTTTAAATGTTAAATTATTCTATAAAATTGTTCCCAGACATATGTTGATGTTGCAGGTGGTTAAGGGTGTTGCAAGGCTTCTAAAATCTCAGTCAGTAAAGTCTTTTTGTCTTACCCCAGCGTGATGCAGGCCTCTCGGACCACCTGGGAGCGCAGGTCTTTAGCTGACAGCTTGAAGGAAGCCTCAAGAAGTCGAAGCTGCTGAGGGAAACCTTCATAATCAGTGGCCCCTGCCAACATGAGGGAACGGACCTTCTTCAGCTACAGAGGAATGAGAAAAGAGAAAAAAAATGTCATGATCAAATATATATTACTTATCATCTTTATATGTAAGTGTGTGTGTGTTTTAAAGAGGACACATGTGCTTCCAGAATCTCACCGCAACCACTCGGTGCTCCCAGTCATGTTTGTCATCAGACAGCACTTCTCTGATCTTGGTCAGCTGGTCCTCGAGCTCTCTGTTAGAGTAGATCTGTGCACAACGGGACAGGAAGGGAAGCCACAATATTAGCAGGACTTATTTCAATATGGTGCACCAAAGTGACTGACCCCAAATCACTAGACTGTGCAGTTCCTCTAATGTCCACTAGAGGCTCAGGCAGTGAATCAGTCCCCACGTTATTAAAATATCCAACTTTACAGCAGAAATAAACATGTTTACAGACTGATGCAAAGACTGTTTTGGTGCAATGTTTTAATCAAGGCTTAAAGTTTGCATTGTCGGGGGCGTGGCTGTAGCTGCTAACTGCCTGTGAGGCTTTACCTCAGCTAATTGAAGTCCCTGAACTGGAGCTCTGCAAGGTGTTTGTGCTGTTGGAGCCTTTTGGAACATTTTTAAAGCAATAATCTGATTACTCTAGATAACCAGATAACCAATTAGCTAGCATTAACTGCCTTCCTACCCCACCCTTTTGTCTCAGTGCAGCCAAGAGCAATAAAGCTAGAATTATATCAGTTTTTTAAATGCTGTCTGTTTTGATTAAACATCCAGGTGGTGTGAGATGAAACATCGTGGATTCATTAAAGTCAATCTGACATGACATCCAGAAATCATGAAGCCAAGAATCCCAACCACATGATGATAGCAACCTGTGCTATCATCATGAGATGGACCAAGTATTTTGGACCATCACACAGGTGTGGACCAATTACCTCTAACACTCCTAAAGCCACACCCTCTGGGAAGGCTAACTACCATCATACTAAGCAAGGTTTCATATGGAGAATGTGGCCAGCTCACCTGGACCGAGGGCACGTCTTCAAAGGCTTTAATGAAATCCTCTTCATCAACAGCACCAGCAGCAGCTTCTTTACCTTTGAAAAATATACATAAGGCATTTTAAATGGTATTCAACAGCATCTTTTAAACTACGAATTTGACCAAAGAACAGAAGCCTTGGTTCAGTCATTAACAACCTGCTCTCAATGCAAGCACATCTATGACAAACGAAAAACTGCCGTCAAACAAAGATTTCTTTCTAAAACATAACGAATCGCCAGCCAACAGAGCTCGGCTGCCTGAGGGTAAACTGTTATGACCCAGGGTTAAATTAAAATGTGAATAACTGTTCATTAAATCAGAACAAATAGTGACTTTCAGCGGCAGATTATTTATTCCCAGCACTGAGCTGAGCTTGAACCTCTCCCTCACCCGTGGGCTTTGGCGTGGTGGCTGAGCTGGGTCTTCTGACAGAGCTCACTACAGTCCTCCTGCCACTGGGTGGTGCTTTGGAGGAGGAGGAGGAGGACCGGCCTCCGTCCACAGAGTCCTCATCCTCAAAGTTCTTATCTGCAAAAAAGAAGAAGAAGAAATGAGAAAGGGTGTAGGTGACTAAGGCTTTCGATACAGGCTGGCTGACTGTGAGAATTATTTCCCGTAAGGATCAATAAAGCACCGTTCAGTCATCGTTCAGAGGCTGAAATCATTCTCTTAAGTGTTAAACAGCCCTGAGTCATTGCTGCGTTGGATAACCTCTCAGGGGGGAGAGTGCAACACGGGCAATCTGTCAGGTGGTGTATGTATCTGTGCACGCTTTAATCATTCCATCCATCTGACTCTAATCTGGTTTGGCAGCAGTGCATACATGGCCTCCGGCGTCACCTGCCCAACGTGACCACTCACACGAGGGATTAGCCGGTGGTGATATCCGCCAGCTGAGGCACGGAGATAAAGGCGGTGTTTGCAGCCATGATCATGACCGCTGTCTGAGGACATTTAGAGACATTAACTTGCTGTTTAGGAATCAGGTTTGTGCCTTTTCTTTTATTTGTGGAGCCACGTATAATAAACTGATACATAAAATAGAAGCTTCATCCACACAAGCTGCTCCCTGCATGAAAATCATCATCATGACCAAGAAATACAAAACATGACAGGGACAAAAAGGCAACAGGTTGGCAGACATGAGACGCACAGAGCCAGAGAGAGCAGAGCAATAACAGACAGACAGGAAGCTGTGCAGGGCGAGACGAGCGCGGCGAGGATGAAAATGAGGACAGATAAATGCATCGTTCTTACGAGGGCAGATTTTCTTGCACATCAGCTTCCTCAGCATGTCTCGGCAGCAGCCTCTAACACACACTCTCGCTTTCTTCAGGCATCTCTGTCGAATGGATTGTGTGTGGCTCCGGCACACTCCCAGACAAACCAGCCCTCTCCCTGAGGTGTGTGTGTGTGTGTATGTGTCACAGTAACATCACTGCTGATGCTGTTGGACTAAAGGCTCTAAAAACAGGGAGGGGTCTGAGGTTATGAAGCATTTTGTATTTACTGAGCACAGTTCCTGTACGATGACCACACTGTCGTGTTTAAATGCAGTTTCTCAAAAAGAAGTCAATAATGATGAAGCTTTATCTGCTGCTTATCGAAATGCAGGTCTCGGGGGAATCAGAGATGCTCAGACCTTCTTTATCCAGCCTCGTCCACCAGCTCGTCTGAAGTGTTCATAAGCCAGCCGATAGATATTTCTTTCCCTGGGAGGTTGGAGGCATCCTGGCCAGTAGCCCAAAGCACCTCGCTTTTTGATGTGGAGGACAAACCCCTCCTGTATGCCCACGTTCTTCACCCTCTCTAAGAGACACTCTCCAGAGGAAGCTCCTTTCTACTGCTTGTATCGGTGATCTCATCCTTTGTCACTGCCCACACCTCGTGTCCATAGGTGAGGGTCGGAATGTAGATCACCAGTAAATCAATAGCTTCTCTGTGGCCCTCTGCTCTCTCTTCACCACAATAGACCAGCACAGCATCCTCATCACTGCAGATCGTCTCTCAATTTCTTACTCGACTCTCAACCCACTCATGATCAAGACCCCTGAGAAACACAGCCTTTGCTCTGTGACTTAGCTCAGCCAATTCTCATCCCAGCCGCTTTATACTTGACTGAAAAACAAAACAAAAAAACAACACAATGTGAGCTGGAAGTCGAACTGACACGTCACCCAGAACACAGATGATGAACACAACGTCTCAAAGAGCCAAGATGTGATCCTGGGTCCATGGAAGTGTGCACTTTAGAGTAAAATAACCAGTACAATCCACACACGAGGTGCAACCAAAGAAGCTCGGTGGGTGCTGAGAAAAGACGTGCAGATGCTATTCGCTCTCTATTCTCTATCGATCGATCTCTATGTGGCTAAACCTCTCAAACAATGAAAAGCCATTAGCTTACTGTAAACCCTTACTTTGCTGCCTGTAAAAAAAAAAAAAGACGCACCCCCACGTGCACCTGATATTGGGATTCTCCGTCCCACAAATGCTGCAGGTTGAGTTCCGTTTTGTATTATTGAGGCCCAGAAACACGTGGGGCTGCAGACCCACAGGGCAGATTCAAAGTGTGATGCTGTGGCTCAAAGCTCTGAGCTTTGCAACGACCTACACGTGACAATTATACACTTACTCTGATAACTTATGCCCCACTTGCTCCAAATAACATCAACACACCCAAGAGAGGCCAATACAGCCATATCAGACACAACATAACATAACGTATTAAATCTGCAGTAAAGTGTCTGCTGTAGACATTCATGAATTTAAACTTTGTGATTAAATTCATTATTTTCTTTCCAAAATGTTGGACACTACAAAGACACCTGTGTACACACCTTTTAGGCCAATTTAATATCAAAAGGGTTGTTAGTAAATATGGCCCCATATGGACTTTCTTTCCTTGAGACCATGAGACAAAAGCCCCCTAATCAGTTGCCTGAACCACCCTAACTGACTCCTTTCATCTGTTTGGATTTATTTTTGTTTCTAGAACAGCTCTTTTAGGTATGATCCTTGCAATCCATCACACCACTGTTAGAAAGTTTGATTAAGTGGCCAAGCTGCTCATCAGCGCATCTATTTTTTTTTTCCAGGTTAAAGGAAGTAATCAGTTATCAGACGTAATCCGTAGGCCAGCAAAACCAACAGCCAATCACCTAAACACTCGCCCCCTCGCCTCTTCGTAAAGGCTAACAGCTCGCACACCTAAGCAGAAAGCACAGCGCCCGACCACACAGATGAGAGCATTGATCACAGCTGTCAGAGCAGCTGCTGCCAGCAACGCTGACACAACGGCTGGATTGTGTGTGTGATTTATCCAGGGAGCAATTAAAGCGGCATGCAACATGAGATGAGCAGTTCTCTCTCTCTCTCTC